GTGCCCTTGCAGTTGTTCGGAGCTGATCAGGGGAACAGGTTTATGTTCTGGTCAGCCGGCACCGGTGTGCTTCAATAAAGGCTTGATTGGATTATACTTGAGTGGTCTGGAAGCCAGTTTATGAAACCCTGGGACAAAGCTTTAACTATAACAGTTATGGTTTGCATCTGGAATGTCTCTCAAAGCCTCAGTATTGGAGGCTTGATCCCAGTGCACCAAAGTTCAGAGGTGGAGCTCTTGGGAAGTAGGGGGGCTATGGGAGATCTAACTTAGTTATGAATGCATTAGCCCATTGATGAATTCATAATATGATGGCAGGACAGGGAGCTGGTGGAAATTATGAGAGGTGGAGCCTAGGTGGGAGAATTCGTCTCAAGAAGGAATGTCTGGAAAGTCTAACCTTGTTCCTGGCTCTTTCCTTGTTTTCACATTCTACTTCCTAGACACCATGAGGGGAGCAGCTATGCTCTGCCATGCCCTTCCACTATGATGCACTGACTTATGCAGACAACTGAACACAGACTGAAACTTCTGAAACCCTTAGTCAAAAAATATCTTTTATCCTATGAATTGATTTTTTGTGGTACATGTCAGAGTGATAGCTGAGAAACACAATTATCATCTGTAGTTACCTTTCTGCAATACAATAGAGAAATTTATTTCTTCAATCCAAGTATAACTTAATACTCATACACTAAACTTTGTGAATCCTGCTCTTCTGACTAATCTCCTCTGCCTCTGGTATCAACTGTAATACTCTCAACAATATGAGATCAATTCTTGTAGATTCTACAATGAGTGAGAGAATGAAATATTTTACTTTCTGTGTCGGGCTTATTGTTCTAATATAATGAACACTACATCCAGCCAGATATCACAAGTGAAAGAGTTTTATCATTTTATTGGATGAATAGAATTCTATTGTGCATACATGCCACATTTTCTTTATCCATTCATTAGTAGGTACACATTTCTCTGCCACCTGAGTAGTGCTAAAATAAACATCTGAGGACTGAGGTCTCCTCAGCATACTAATTTGTTCCCTTTGGATATATCGCCAGTAGTGGCATTGCTGGATTATATGATACCTCTATTTTTAAAGTTTGAATAACCTCCATACTGTTTTCTATAAAAAGGTATTCAGGAGCTCCCACTTCTCTGCATTATGCCAGCACTTTTACCTTCAGTCATTTGATATGATCCATTTTTACCATGTGTACAGTGATATCTTATCATGATTTTGCACTTAATTTCTCTGATATCTTATCATGATTTTGCATTGAATTTCTTCTGATGATTATCACTATAATCAGAATTTTTCATATACTTTGCATACATTGTTTGGAGAAATGCCTATTTGGGCCTACTATCTATTTTTAAATTAGACTTGTTGATTTTTAGCTGTTTGGTTGTTTTTGATTAGATAACATATCTTAATATTACATTACAAATAATGTGTTTTTATGAAAAAATTCTCTAAACAATTTATTATATATTCAGTTGTCATACACCCTAAATTATGTCCATTAAATATAAACAGCTAAATGTTTTGTGTTCATGCATTTTAACGATACATAATAGTCATATTCACCATATCATGGCCATGCATGCACTTAATATAATTTGATAAATCTCAAAAAAATTGAGCTTTCATCTGCTGCTGCTTCCTTGTTCTTTCAATTTTTAATCTATCCAAGCCATCATCCTATCCATTGGTGCTGCCCATCCTTAGGGAAAGTCTCCATTTTAATTGGCTAGCCCACATGCCAATCATTCTTAAACACATCCTTATGGACACACCCATAATCCTCTTAATCCATGGCTTTTCTTAATACAATCAAGGTGACAATTCAAGTTGACCATTACACTTTGCGTGTTGAGATGTCATAATTGGTGCTATGGTGGATCATGTTTATTAATTTATTTATGTGGACCATCTTTTCATCACTGAAATGAATCCCTCTTGGATTTTAGTCTTCAAAATACAAATATGGATTATTTCTTCATGTTTATAATAGAAAAGCATTCTGAATTTCTCTCATTACTCTTACTAGTGAGTTTTTCACATTGTGATATTTTCTTTTTCCTTGGTATCACCTCCTTCTGTCAGATAAGAATTCCCTTTGGCATTCTCACTGGATATGTCTGATGGTTATGAATTCTATGAGTTTCAGTGTATCTGACAATATCTTTATCCTCCTTATTTTCTGAAAGGTAGTTTGTATATAGCTGTACTTTTTGGTTGTGAGTTTGTTTATTTCCTCTTCAGTATTCAGAGTATCTCATTCTGCTTCCCGTGGTCTATAAGCTATATGTTAGTTATTTCTTTACTCTTTCTGCCTCAAAAATACTTTCTCTGTCTTCAATTATTGAAAGCTTGATTATAATGTTTTGGAATAGATTTGTTTATTTCAATCTGACTTATAACCCTTGACCTTTGATTTTGTTGATTTGTTTGGACCTTATTATCTTTTCATACTAGAATATTTGTATCATTTTTCCAGGTTTAGGAGATTTTTCTATTGTCATCTCTTTAAAAATTTTTCTACCTTTTGGGCTTTCTCATGTCTATCTGTATTATTATTATTATTATTATTATTACTATTATTATCAGATCTGGAGATTGAACCAAGGGTAACTCTAGCAGTGAGCGGTATCCAGAGCCTTTTTTATTTTTTCTTTTGAGACAGGGTCTTATTAAATTGTTGAGGCTGGCCTCAAACTTCCAATCCTCCTGTCTTAACTTCAACAGTCATGGGATATAGGCAAGTGTCACCATCCCTGGCTTCCATTATCTCTTGAGCCTAAATAATCTGAATATTTGTTTCTAATACTGTCCTATGTTGTCATATTTTTTTTCTTTTTTCTTTTTCATTTTTCTCATCCAATATAATATTTTACATAATGTCTTATTGCTTCTATTTGAGCTACTATCTTCTATTTTATAGTTACTATCACATTTTCAATTTTATTTATTTTACTGCTCAGCTAAAAAATTTCTATTTGATTTTTTTCATTACTTTTATCTCTCTGATAAAAGTTTGTCTGACATAGTAATAAATTATTTTTTCTGTGCTTCCCTTCATTGTGTTTCCTTACAGCCCCTGTTTTAAACACTTTGTACTTCTTTCTACACTTTTTGGTTATTATAAGCTCAGTTTCCAGTACTTTATTTTGTCCCTTAAGTAAAGTGTACCTGAAATTCTTGATCCTTGCATGTGTTGATAATGTTTATATAGCGAAGACTTGTCATTTAGTTCAGGCTTCATATTATAGTTTTGTGTATATTTTCGCCCAAATTATATGTAATCTAATTATTTGATCTGAGCTTGTGGTCACTAATACCATTTAGAAAGATCCTAAATAGTATATTGTCATTGTGGCATATGTAAGATTACCATAGGCCCAAGTGTGTCCCAAATATGCCGCTAGTATGCTATTCAGGGTGGACCAGAAGAATATTTAAAAATGACAGAATTTAGTATGCTGATTTTAAGTCTTTTGGGTATAAAATAAGAAGTTGGATAACTAGATCAAATGTTGATTCCTATCCAAGTTTCCTGAGGAATCTCCATCCCACTTTCCATAATGTGAAAATTTGTATTGCTATCAGAATTGTATGAGTGTACCTTTTTCCTCAAATCCTCACCAACATTTAATGTTGCTTGTATTCTTTTTTTAAACTTTTTTTGTAGTTCTAGATGTACAACATGTCTTTATTTTATTAGTTTAATTTTTATGTGATGCTAAGGATCAAACCCAATGCCTCATACATGAAAGGCAAGCGGTCTGCCACTGAGCTATTACCCCAGTCCTGTTGCTTGTATTCTTGATAATAGCCATTCTGACTGGAGTGAGATGAAATCTTAGAGTAGTTTTGATTTATATTTCTCTAACTGCTAGAGATGTTGAACATTTTTTTATATTTGTTGATCAATTGTATTTATTCTATGAATTATCTGTTCAATTCCTTAGTCCATTTATTGAATGAGTTATTTGCTTTTTTCCTTTTGCTTTTTTTATGTTAATATTTTTTAGTTCTTTGTATATCCTGGAGGTTAATACTTTATCTGAGTTACATGTCATAAAGATTTTCTTTGATTCTCTAGGGTCTCTCCACGTTATTGACATGAATGTTTATAGCAGCTCAACTCACAATAGCTGAACTATGGAACTAAAGTACTGTCCTTCAGCAGATAAATAGATCAAGAAAATGTGGTATATAACAAAATAGAATATTACTTAGCCTTGAATAAGAATGAAATGTTGGCACACATCAGTAAAGAGATGAAACTGAAGATTATTATAATAAGTAAAATAAGTCAATCTCCCAAAACCAAAGATGGAATATTATCTCTGGTATGCAGATGCTAATTTACAATAAAGTGGATGAGGCTAGGGAAGAATACAGTTACTTTGAATTAGGCAGAAGAGAGTGAAGGGAGGGGAAAGGGTAAGGCAGGAGGAAGGATAATAGAATGAATTGGACATTGTTACTCTATGTTCATTTATGACTACATGACTAATGTGATTCTATATCATGTACAACCAGAAGAATGCAAAGTTATGCTCTATTTATGTCTGATGTATCAAAGGACATTCTACTGTCATGTACAACTAATTAGACCAAATTGAAAAAATAAAAAAAAGAAAAAGAAAAATGAGCATCCATATACATATATTCAGAACTTTTTAAGTCCATAGTTTTCCACCAGCAAAAAGGAAGGAAATAAACAGAGCTGTGCAAATTCTACAAAAAATAAATAAATAAACTTGTGAAAACATAAAAACAAAACAAACAAAACAATGACAGTCTTTCCCCTTAATCTACAAAGCTGGATCACACCTGTAGTACGCAGTCCACTGAGACCAGTGCAGTAGAGGCAGAACTGAGCCTATGTTCCTAAATCCTGAGTGCTACTGGGGTGTACTTGTGGTCTATCACTGCTGCAAGCAGCTACAGGTGACTCTGACCAGAATACAAGCCTGTTCCATTGGAGTTATGGGACAATGCCTGGAGCTGGTGTTGTTCCATTGTCTTCATCCTCAGGTACTAACCTGGGAACAAGAAACACCAGAATACTCTAGTGTTGAGTTTCTATGTCCTGGCACTGAGCTTCAAGGCAAAGTCCTTAATTTCCTTCCCTATCCTACTCTCAAGTGGATGGTGTCTTTTTTTTTTTTTTTTTTTTGCATTATGTTCCTCAAGGTCGAGAATTGTGTTGGAGACAGTCTTCTCAGTTTAAGCCTAATATGGGTTCAAAGGCTCTGTTCTTTGGCATTGTCCTTGGAGAAAGGACTTTGGGTTTTGTCTGGTACTGGATTTCACGTGTAAGGTCTAAACTTTATATACCTCTCCCTTCCCTCAGCAAGAGGTGCCTTCGTACATGATACTCTGGATTTAGGAGAAGGCTGATACAGCAAATCTTTTCTTCCTGTGTTCCTCAGTGTGTTACAACATGAAACTAAGTAATTCAGGGTCACTCCAGGTGAATTTGGGTTGGCATAAAATAATCACAACAAGACAGAAAATATCTTTTTCTTGGGATTCTTCAGCGAGAGCGCCTCTGCTCTAGCTCCTACAGGGAAGGCAGAAAAAAAAAAAAAAAGGAAGAGGACATTCTGAAGCCCATTTTTATTGAGGGAAATACACTTGAGCAAGTTCCACTCCAATAAAGGTGCTCAGGTTTCAGGGGTTGAGTCTAGCTTAGTGATGTCTTGTGGTCAGCAGACTGACTGACATCTTGGAAGGCCACACCTATCTCAGGTTTTCTGTGAAGATCATTGGTAGAGTAAGCAAAAAAGGACACATATGTCGCCAGCCCAAATAGAGAGGCCACATCAGTCCAGTCCACTCATGTACTCATTCTCATAGTTCATACACACACTGCCCATGGCTGGCTAGCTACATCAGCCCATCTTTTTTATTATTATGACACACCAGGTACCATGATCTCTTACCTTGTTTCATCATGTGAAGGTAATTTCTAATGTGAATAGCTGTTTAAATTTATATTTATGTGCTGTTTGGGGGCACTGGTGGATCTTTCTTACATTACCATTTCGCTCTGGGTTATAATATTGTGTTTGATTTTGTGCCTTACACTGCTGTCCTTTCCAATCTTGAAGATTTAAAATTCCAATTCATGAGGATCTCTTGGAGCTTCTCTCCCTTCATCTCTCAGATTTGTTCATCATAGATTATCTTTATGTGTTGGCTTCAGGTCCTTTTTCTGGAAACTGGCCTTCTATGCTGGCCAGAAACTTGAATTCTCAAGGAAATTATTTTGAATGACAGGCATTACTATTTTATGATGAATAATTTTGAATTTGCTTCTATACACATATTATAATGTGGCATGTTTTAGAGAAATGCAATTCTGACATTGACTAGATATATTATTCACTTTGTTTTTTTCTTTGCATTTCAAAATTAAATGTCAATAGAAATTACTTTTTGTTGCTATATTTTTTAAATTTAATAGATATTTTTATTGGTTGTAATCAGTATGCTGCTTAACAAAATTCTCCATAATAAGAAATTCCCTCAAGGTATTCTGGTTGTAACAAAGAAAACATTCTTAAAGATTTATTTAAAGTTTTAAAACAATGTAGAAGATGTAAATAAGTAAATAGTTTAAAACTGTAGTTCATAACTAATGGAGCTCATTTGTATGGACATAGACTTAATATTAAATAGTGATGAGAAAAACTGATCATTAATCATTAACCTAACACAGTTGCCCCAGAAAAGTTCAAAATGAAAATGTAACCACATTTCACTTAACATGTTGTTTAAAACAATTTGCAACTTATAGTTGGATTGTGTGTGTGTGTGTGTGTGTGTGTGTTTCTTTTCAGTACCATGTGGTATTGTATAGTTTATAATCTATAAGAATTCATTTTGATATTGAGACATGAGGATTGTTGGTTCTTTGTTTCATGAATTCAAACAATGAGAGACATGAAAATGAAGGGTGAGAACAAACTTACAAGATTTATTAAATTAATAGAAAGAAAGCAGAGCTCCCTAGGAGGAAGTGGTCTTAAGATAAGTTTGGTACCTGATGGCTCATGGCTGTTGTTCACAGGTTTGTATGATAAGATTAGTAGGAAGTTAGGTTGCCTTGAAGACCACAGGTCAGAGACCTTAAAGAAGTGCCCTTTGACCCTAGTCACACCAGGGCAACTGGTGTTCATGCGCCCCAGGTCCACTCAGGATGTTGATCATGAACTACTTTTCCTCAGGGACTGGCTCAGGATTCTAGCATATACCTTCAGGCTGTAATGGAGTTATTGTTCATAAGCTATCTGCTCAATTTGTGAACTCCTGAGGGAGAGAGGTCTTAACCCTGTTTTCCTAAGACATCTCTATCTCCTGCTCTCAATATTTCCACAATCTTACATCAAGAGAGGGCACAAATGAAATCTATTAACGTTCTGTACCTGTCAGAAACATGAATAACTGATTTATTCAGAGGTGCCTATTCAGTGCCTAGCAAAAAAAATTTGTAATCCATTGGCATTTATTCTAAATTAATTCTGCATAATTCAATGTTGTGTTGAGGAAAGTCCTTTTTATACCAGATGAAATCACTTGAGTAGAATAGTATTGTATATGTTTACAAAATATTTATAGGTGCCAATTTGTTACCAATTATTGGAGTTCTAAGGTTGACAATTTTTTTGACACATTTTGCAGTACTCAAACATTACCATTTAATTGTGCACATACTATGGCCTGGAGTCCACAGAAAGTCTGTCTCTGGGATATTGTTGGTGTGGGAGTATGGTTAGAAGATATCTTTTATATTTAAACAACAACAAAAAAATTAAACTAATTTCATAGGTTTCCTTTCTAATAATTTTCATTGAAATACTTATAATAAATGTAAAATTAACCTTTAACTTTATCAATGCTAACATTAATAAAATTTTATAATGATGATGATGATGATGATGATGATGATAATTAGAATTGAGAAGGATACTGTTCAAATAAATATGAATGATACTTAGGGGGGAAACAAGCAGATTCCATTAATTTTTTTAATCTGTCACCTTGTGTCCCCAAAGGAATCAATTTCTCTCTTTCCTTGGGGTGCCCAATCAATTGATACCATTTCTTCTAGGTGGTGATATTCACCATATAGCTATTCTTGGCTTGGCTATTGTTCTTGGCATAGAAATGATATCTGCCACTTTCAATTAAAGCATTTAAATATGTTTTTTTTTCTCACTGTTTCTTTTCTTTTCTTTTCTTTGGTGGTAGTTATTGAACCCAGAGGTTTTTAACTACCGAGGCACATCCCCAATCCTTTCTATTTTATTTTTAAATTTTAAGTCAGGGTCTCAAGAAGTTGCTTACAGCATCACCAAGTTGTTGAGGATTGATTTAAGTTTAGCAATCCTCCTGATTCAGCCTCTCTAGCCTCTGGGATCATAAGCGTGCACCACCATGCCAGGCTCACTCTTCCTTTATGGTGGCTGTCATGGAGCTTGTATGAGATTGAGCAGCAAAAGATCCAGTTTCCTGGAGTTTTGAGTTAATATTTGACAGTTATCATTAAGAGACTTTAGTTGTAAAGTAACAAGCAAAGAAGTATTTTATTAAACCATTGATAACAAGCACATAGGCTAACTGAACCTGACTAATACAGGTGAGAAAGTCATAGGACTTATACACAAAGGTTTATATTTGATATGAAATCTGTCCTAGACATATGAAATCTGTAGTTTGGATCTGGAATGATCCCCCAAAGCTCATGTGTTGAAGGTTTTTATCCACATACAGCAATGTTCAGAGATGGGGCTTCAGGGGGGATTATTGAATCATGAGGTCTTTGACCTCATAAGAATACACTGATAGCTGAATGTATTATGGGGAGGTGATAGAAACTATAGGCAGGTGGGGTATGGTTGGAAGGAGTATAATTATTTCAGAAAAAAAACTTAAATATACATTAATGTCAATAAAATCAAAGACAATCTATAAAAAGCAATGAGTTCCCAAGGCCTGAAAGACAGCTTAGCTGCTATGGTAATGTCCTTCATGAGGAGGCTCTGTGCTAGAGTCTTATGAGCCTTGACCTTAATCTCAGACACTCAGCTTTTGGGAATAAAGAAACTCTCTTGTTAGTCAACACAATTTTGGCACTGTGCCATAACCTGCCCACAGAACAGTAACTTTATGCAATGAATGATATGTACTATGATGCCCATGACCTAATGTTACCTATGGATATAAATAAAGCTGGAAGCTTGGATGAGCAACCACTTTTACTTTGCACCTGCACCTCGCTTCTGTCTCATTTTGTTTTCCTTGCAGATATCTGCTTATTGCTGTGTCCTCACATGGGGGGAGGAAGTAACTAGCTCTATGATATTTCTTTTTTAAGGACACTAGCTGAAAACAACATAAATGTGCCTCTTTGTCAGAGAAGCAAAATAAAATAAAGCATTCATATTCATCGTGTATTACCCCAAGAAAATAATAAAAACATCCCATTCATTTCTTTGCTCCTTTCCTTCTCTGTTCTCCCCATGCCAACCTCCTTCCCTGTCCTGCCCTCTTCTCTCTCTTTCCATTTATTACCCTTTGCTCTTTATCTTATCTTTATTTAGTCTACCTCCCCTTCCCTACCCTTCTTTTTCTTGTAGTTTGTAAGATATTGGGCACAAGGTGTTTATTTATTAAAGTTTTATAAAATGAATTTGGAAAACGTAATTTCTTAGGAAAACAACAACCCTTACAGGAGTGTAAGACTTTTCAAATTATAAAAATTATTTAGAATAAAATTCTATATTTTACAATGATTATGTCAAAATGATCATTGTTTGTCTTTTCTTTAAATTTGAGATATGGTTACGGCTCATTTTCTATAGAACTATTTCAGGTAGATGGGTACAGTATTAAAAAGGGTAAGTTCGCTAAATGTAGATATATTTGTATACCCAGATCACTGTGCTGTTTGTGAAGTATATGTGATCATTTATGAACTTTACCACATAACCCAAACCCAAGATTTCTATTAACTGTATTTCTACTAGTCCTTGTA